CGCTATGATGAAATCTGACTACAAACTTTGCTTTCCCTTTTACTAGAGGAAAGATGATGCATTCACAGCAGTAAATTCAACATTTCTGCCCCTACGGTTAATTAACCATAACATAGAAGTAGCACAGCGAGCAGTGAGAATGTTTATAGGCAAGGAAGGGATTAAGAAAGGAAGGAAGGAAGATTAAAAAAAAAAATCTAAAGTCTGAGCACAATCCAGAATAAAAACAATAAGAACCATGAACTTTCAAATATCAAAGCCATGTACACATTAGTTGGAGGTAGAAATCACTTAATGTAGAACAGGAGGATTTATAATGAGCTATTAAGACATTTTTATTGAGGTTGTTTCATGCTACAAGTTTCATCAAAGTACAAAATAAAGATGGATCTGTGTCCAGAAAAAAATTTCAGTTTTTCTTGATAATGCAACTGAAGTTTGATGTCATATGGGCAAACTTGTAAACGAGAAAGGAAAGCTTTTTGATTTGCCTAAAGTACTCATGCACTTTTCTCCCTGTTGTGGCACAGACAGACATTAACATCTTTAAAATTCTCTGTTAAAACCATTGGGTTTTTACAAGTAAGCACATATGATTTGAATGTCTCAAAATTAATTTATCTTCAGAAACATAAGCAAGACAGGTTTTGTGGGCACAGGCCACATCTTTTATTAAACCAATTAATGCAGTTGGAAAATCTATAGAAAACTTTTTCTTGCTCCTTAGAGCATGGTTGAAATAAATCAGTAATGTACTTTGCTTTTGTAATTTGTGTTTAATATTATTTTGAGACTATTTGGCCAAACAAATCAGGGAATTTGTTTGATAACTTACTTTAGCTGTTCCATTTTAGCAGTGATTCCCCAGCTTCTGCACTGTTAATTAGTAGTTAATTAGATTATCTTGGATATCTAAGGCAGCAATCAGTAAGCAAGCACTCCTTATAAGACTGAATATTTCAGGGGTTTCCCTTCTGAACAGCTTATGATATTAGGAAAAGCAAACTTCATCTGTGGCTGGGTCTTTCTGTGTTCACAGTGTATCCAAATCCTCATTACAGATCAATTAGTCTGATTTTGAGCCTTTTAGATTTAGGATCACAGGATTAATGAAAAGAAAATGAGTTGGTAGCAATATCTTTTCATATGGAGATAAGGAGGGACTGAGCATGAATGAGGATCTCAAGACATCTGAATAAAGAGTTTCCTCATTCTGTCAGTGAAGTTTTATGGGATATGGAGGGAGGATTATGGGAATATTCATGACCAGATCAAGAGGCATAATGATTTGATGTATGAACCAGCTTATCTTTTAGGTAAACATGGAGTAAATGGGAAGTAGAATAGCCATTCATTGCCCCTAGGCCTGTGAATTTTACTGTTCTAAAGGTGGTAACAAGGGTTTAGTTACAGTTATTCTTCATTGATTTAATTTGATTTTTGATCACTGTTTAACAGGTGGTAGAAGAATTATGTATTTGTAACTTCAGGTCTGCATTAAAACTACCAAAGACCGCATCATCTTTCTAGAATCCAGTGTAAGCAATAGTATATATTTAAACTTCTGCAATACCATATAATAAGAGTATAGTACTTTTAACAGCCTTCTGTGATATTGGAGCATTGTATAACAGTGCTGGGGTAGTTCAACCTGTTATAAAAATAATTTGCTAGCAAGCTGAATGCTTTTAATCTGTGCTTTACTTGTACATGGAAAAACACAGTATCACAAAATCTAGAAAGAACAACAAGACACCTTTATCTATCCCTTAATTTACTTATATAGTAAATATTCTTATCTGAAAACCAAATAGTGTTCCGAGTTTGGCATGTTGATAAACCTTCCTCAAAACAAAATGTACTATAATTTAGAAGTGCAAAGTGTAAGTCACTAATATTTTGATCTAGGTGTCAGTCAGAACCCTGCAGGTATGGGTGCACAGCTTTTGCATTTCACAAAGGAAAGAACTTCCTCAAATAAGGATGGGTAACATCTGACTCTTGAGTTTTAACAATTAGTTGTTGTTCTGAATGAAATGTCATAGGGTGCTGATGAACCTGGGGGCAGTTATCGCCGAATTGCAGACACTGCACTTGCGCTCATTGGAACAGTTCTGCCCGAGCATTTTTATATACTGGTTTAAGATTAGTATGTAAATACATAACCCTGCCATTAGCATATTTAAAAAGTAAACCAATTTAGTAGACTGCTTTTCTGTGCTACAGAATGGACTTGGGGGGAAAATGTTACAGATTGGCTGAGGTCTGCTACTGCAAAAAGCTTTATCACTGCTAAGAATACAGGGCATAGCATGAATAATTGCAGCTATTTGGCAGTCAGCGTAACTGTTCTCTTTTAAGAATAGCCAGCATGTTTTTTCAAAGTATTAAATTACCTCAAGACCTCATAATTATTACAGTTAAGCAATCATTTCAATTCAGTCCAAGTATAAAAACTAATAAAGTGCTTATAATACAGAGACAATTTAGTATGTCTGTTCTTTGAGCAAACACAGCTGATTCAGTATATTCTGGTGGAATGCATATTTGCTATCCTGTTATTTTAATATGTCCTAATCAGAAAATTAAAATAGATTTTGTTGGCACAGACCTTTTTTTAAAGGTGAAATAATAATTATAGATTTTTGCTGATGCTATTAATTTTCAGAACTGGAATATTTCATTAACAAGAGAGTGAGAAGGGAAAATATTTGCATTTAATACTGCTAAATCTGCCTGCTTTCACTGAGTCTAATGGCTTGATCAATACAAAGAACATACTTGGGGAAAGCATGTAGCAAAAAAAAATTCCACATCAAAAATAAGGCTATTGAAAGCACAACATGAAGAGTCATGAGATCTAATCTTCAGTTATCACTGGCAACTGCTGCTCGTATTGGAGACTGAGGTCCAGAATTAATGATTTCCAAAAACATAAAAACTCTGTCTAAGATAATAGGACATTATTTCAAAGGCTAATTCTGTAAACATACATAGAGCATCAGTATTGGAAGCTGAGTTAAGTAATTGGCGAAATACAAGCCATAGAAATAATGTTTTCATTACATTAGAGGTTTATATACTGACATGCAAACAATACATAATTTTTTTTTTATTTAAAAAAGATAGTAATGAAAACACTTTGAATGTGCTTAGTAAGGAGAAGTGATCATGGGTCTACTTTTTATTTCATTGGCAGCTTTCAAAAATTCTCTCTGGTGAACTGAATTGAGGATTTTTAAAATTTATTTTATTATATATTTTTTCCTTGTAAAAATCAGCAGCTGCTGTTTCTTAACTTCCAAGGTAACAGCTTTTGCCCTCACACTGACTCCGGTCTTCATTTAATATCAAAGTACTTCAAAAAAACCAAGATCAGCTGAAATTCAAGAAAATTCTTTGTTTTCTTTAGGACCCAGAGTGTGATTCGGCCTCACTGTACATCTGTGTTTGTAGATAAGCACCACTGGGGAAGGGGACACCGAAGTGGTGAAAGTATAAGTGGCTTGCCCTTTATCACCTGAGAATTGCATGATTGAAGATAAAAGTTTGAGATTTCTTCATCCTTATGCAGGCTATTTTCTGTATTTTATTTCAAATGCCTACTAAAGTTCTCTTTTTCTGTTAGAACAGGACTACGGGGTTTTGTTGAGATTTTATTATTAGTATAATTACTCTAAAATTGATTTCATAACTGCCTATGGGATTGTCACTTTGTTACTGGAGGAAACTTTTAGTTCCTTTAGCTACATTCTTAGAGCATTCTGTTTGGAGGTCAGGTTTTTTTTCCACTTATGCTCGTGTATCCCATTTAATGCTGATTGTTTTTCCTTCTGGTTTGCTGTTGTTTCAGCTCAGCAAAGCAAGTTTATAACATTTGGTATTGCTAAAGAGAAGAAAACATTAAGAAATTATTAAAAAAAAACCTCAAACCTTCTGTCTCATACAAGGGAACATACAGCTTTAATCCAGTAGTATTTTTAGAAAAAAAAATTATCTGTGTTTATGCTCATCTAACTTATTTTTGTGTGTCCTACTGCTCTCCCCCTGTTCCTTCTTATTTCTGAAGTGTGTTTTTCATGGCTATAATCACACACAGAACGAGTTTCAAATGAGGATGTGGTGAGAGAAAAGCAGGAAATCTCGCAGGCTTTGGATTCCAGCTATGTTCTAAATCTTGCTTCATAAGCAATTTAATAAATCAAATAAGTTATATGATGACAGGTGTTGTATGGAATTGAGAAAAGAGTGGAAAAATGCCTAAACCCCTGAATTTTTCCCAATATTGCCTTTTCATTCTTAGTAACTATTTGTAGTTGTGTTCAAGTCATGTTTTTGTAGAGAAATAAATTCCCAGCTTTATTATTTATATAAAATAAGATTCTGCCCACATCCATCTGGTTACCACTGAAATGCAATGAAATAAAGTGCAAGTTTTAAACATTCTTAACATTGTGCATGCCCTTTTGAATAGGTGTCTTGAATACTGATGTTTCATTCCCTGAAATTCTCCCTGAAAGGGCACTAGCTTTCAACTCTTTTTAGAATTATTAGTAGTGTTTGTGACACTTGCTGTGGGGAATAAGGATATTTGGTTAAAACAGAAAGAAATCAGTGGGCATTAACAACTCCCTACGTGTTACAGGTGTACTGTAGTTCTCTACATGATCTAATGGAAATTTCAGGGTTTTGAAATACAATGTTTCTAGTATTGGATTGCTTTGGTAAATTTTTGAATTATTAAATTAGCATGATAATAATAAAATATGTTAGTAGAAGTTCTTCAGATGGGACAGGGTTTCATTTCTTCTGCTGCAGAAAAATGTTCTAAGTCTTAGTAATTCAAAAAGTAAATGCGTAGGACAATATGATGACAGCATTAGTTTTTGTTCGAGTTTGCAGGTTTGTTGTGGTTTGTTGTTTTGGGGTTTTTTTTCTTTCTGTGCATGTCCTCAATTAAGCAGTAGGTATTCAAAGGGTGATCTTCTTAATTCCTCCAGAAAAAGTTCGGGAAATCCAGGAAAAACTTGAAGCCTTCATAGAAGCCCTCCATCAAGAAAAGTAGATTGTTCAAGCAGGTAATCATGTTTAGATAATAAAAAGATTGCTACAGTTTTCCCATGGTTCTGTATAAAATGATTATCCATCTCTTTTAGATGAACATGTTTTCATACAGACTTTGTGCAAATTCTTTTTTGTCTTATTCTAGTGTCTGGCTGCTGCTGCTTCTTGCTTCAAACCTGCAGAACTATACTTTCAGCTTCTATGCTACAAGCAGATATGAAACTTAGTAGAAATGCAATTATGGGCTAGTTATTCAGATATTGTGAAACACTGTAGACTATTTGATTATTCTCAGTTCATTATTTTTATCTATGTTAAGAGAAAGAAGGCATAACTAGCTGGAAAACAAAATTAAGGAAACACTTTTCTTTATATAAAAGCATTTTGATTCTTTTTTTTCCTTAAAGGCACTGTGTGTTGTTATCAAAAATATTTCCATGCAGATAATTTCCAGAGTTCTTTCTTCTATATTAATTCTCAAAAACATAAGTTTAAGTGCTGTCATATTTTTAGCACACATTTTAAAATAGTCTTCTTTCTGTTTCAACAGCAACTTTACACAAGAATGCAGCCTTTTCCAGGGTATCTTGCACAAAGAAGATTGAATAGAAATGGCTTTTGTGTCCCATTCTCTTTCCTATCTATTGGAGAGCATCCTGAAATGTTGGAGGAGAAAGAAAATGTCTCATGGGATTGAGAAGTTCAGTTAAAATCCACCTGCTCTTTTAATTTTTGAAGCTACATGCACACAACAGAAGAATCTGACTTATGTCAGTGAGATAGCTTGGGAGCTTGCTGAAGTTGTACATTTAAGGTTTGGGGTTTTTTTCCTGAAAGGAAAAAAAGCTTTTATTTTTGGCATCTGTCTCGTATGGTAAAGCTGGATCAGATTAAAAAAAATATTTTATCAGTTGTCATTTTCTTGTCTGTAAATGATCCTGGGAGTTTGACATAAAGTTTTAGTATTTGTACGTACATGAAAACGCCCTTCTAAGTAATGCCATTTGTATTAAAACGCCCTTCTAAGCAATGCCATTTGTATTTGTTATGCTCTGTGTTGAAGCTTTCTCTGATCACTCTGGTACATATTTAAAAGCATGGTATTGAACTCTTGAGAGGAAGTTGTGGATTTTGTTAAACTCCTAAACTCTTCAGAAACATCATCCAAGCAATTCAGACAGCTATTCACTGACACCTTAAAAGGTTTGGCTCAGGAAATAATGTCATCAGCTGCTCCTTTAACCTGTTCTTTCCTAATATATGTTGTTATTCTTGAATCATAGCCAATTACATTTCATTTCTGGGATTGCACAGACTCTGATTTCCTTGTCAACTCCTCCCTTCACCATAGGTACAAAGTAACCAGATTAAGTACATGTGAAATGTAGAGATACTCCGTACAATTCCAACTTGTCCAACCTTAATTAAAAAAGGAAAAATATAATTAATTTATTTTTTCTAATAGCTACTCTAAGACCAAAATTGCTTTTATAATAATGCTATGCATAAAATTCTTCCACACCCACTTGATTTATATCATTCAGTATAGTAAAAATAGTAAGTAGCCTTTCTTTTACTGCCTTTCAGTTTTGCCATAAAAATGGCACTTCTGACAAATTTAAGCATGATACAGGCTCTGTATTATAGGTGCCTGGTGATTAGTCACCACCATATTTTTCTGCCCATGATTTGCCACAAATGATCTGGATACACTGCTGAATACTTCTGTAGAAGATATTAGGCCTGAAACAGTTTGTTTTGCAGTTGTCTGATTATGTACATGGAAAAATTAACCTAGGTTTATTTTTCCCTTTTGAAAAGGCTATTGATTTTGATGTGTGGCAACTAAAGAAAAGAATCTGAACATTTTCCAGCAGATACTGTTTCATTTTGCTCTCAGAGGAAACAATACAAAATTTGGTAAGATGTTCCCCAAATGTTCAGACATAAATATTTAGTCAAGTGAACAAAAAGTTAAAAGGAGAGCTAGTCATAAAATGGTGTTGAAAGGTTAAATATTTCAAGGTGATCTAACTGAATGTTTTGGGATTTTCTGTTTAAAATTACTTCCTGAAAATGAATGTTTGAGAACGAAAAAATGAAAACATGGCTTGGGTCATCATCTTTCTCTGAAGATAACTTCAGAAATCTAAGTTTGCACAATTCTGAAAGCAGAGCCCTTAGGTTGTATAGCAAGTGAAGTAAGTCTGTACTTATGTTAAATCCCTCTTTGTTAAAAAACAAACAAAAAACAACAAAAAAGAACTTTTGCACCTACCTAGAGATCACTGTTTGAAACTTCTTTGTAATGTACATGTTGCAAAATGTCGCATCCAGTGGCCCACCATTCATCTCTTAGTGTGATATTCCTGTAGTTTTAGTTCTGACTTCTCTGTGCTGCTCATTTAAGACTTAGCATGATGTATTCCATGAAAACTAGGTATTTATTGAATAAAATTATTGAATAAAAATGTAACTGAAGGAATAATAAAATGTGAGTTTTGAACACAGTGCTATTGCACCTAATTCAGAAGTCACTTTGGCCTTCTTTTTCTCATTTGTTAAATTGTGAAGACGTATACTGTTAATGATATTAAAATGTCTTATTTGGAAGTGCACCAAGTTAGAGGTAACCATACTAAGTGTTATCTTTTATCATATAAATTAATTATTACCTTACCATTTATGTAATACATTTAGACAAAGATGTCTTATGAAAAATCATTATGTTGAAAGCTTATCTCTCTGGAAGTGAGATGAGTTTGAACTGATATTCAGACTATAAATGAAGACTGGTTATGGAGTGCTAGTTTCAGATGCATTTATAATAAACATGCATACTGGGACAATGGGTCTGAGAATTATAGAGCAGTCAGCTTAACAAGCCATTAATTCAGGAATATATCTTTGTATTTTTTCTTTTACTTTTAGATGAAGAAAAATTTTACAGAATCAGTTGGGGAAAAAAAATACTCTGTAGAACTGTGGTATTGAAGGTGCTGCATATTTGCTTCACAAAGCTTAAATGACAGACGTGGGCATGTTAGTGTCAGTGAAGGATTATAACTCTACATTAAGTTGATTTCATGATTAAACTAACCAAAACTGGTCTTGACAAATAAGCAACAGGTAATTTTATGCTGGTTTTTATAGTATTTTATGTTAAGGTTAGAGGAAAGAAGAGTTATGGCAAGTTGTGCTTATCTCACTAGTAAGTTAGCATCACTTTAGAAAGGTAAAAATGTGCACTTAAGTGCTTTAAGTTGACCACTTCAAAATTGCTCCTTGTAAGGAGTATCATACTATGTAGGTAGCTGTAGTTACGTTAAGCAGCATAAGAAGGATGTGCTAGTTACAACAATTTATTTTGCAAATGCAAATACAGTTAATGGATGTTTCATTTCCAAAGCATGTTCTTTACTGTTGTGTAGATATGGTAAAATATTTCTGTCTTTCATTAAATGAGACATTTATGAGCCTAGGTTTGAATATTAATGCCAACGGTTTCTCTGTTGCTTCTTCATGACAAAGGTACAAATAGTACTTCTTCAAATGTCAAGAATTATTCCTTCTGAGTGGTTACTAGTAAGCTCATCCGAAGTCATTAGACCATGAGAGAGATTAGAAACTTGGAAATGTGTAAAAGTGTCAAAAGCAAGCATGGTTAAGTTAGAGTGAATGTTAGTTAGTGAAAATGTCAAGTGAAGTTCTTGGTTATTACAAACCTACCAGTGTGCTCTATTTCGCCATCAATTTTTTGACTGAGTATATTTTGAACTTAAACTGAGTTGTTATGTATTTCCAAAACTACAGTTTAGAGAAATTAATTTTTGTATATCTTAAATGTAATTCTTAACAATTGTATTAAAAAAGATGCAAGAGATTTCATCACTTCACTATGACCCAGGGGCCCTTGAGTCAGTTAGAACTCTTTGTTCTTGGTGAGATTTGGTCCTGGAAATGTCTGTGGGATATTTTTATGTCAGTGAAGGTGTTGCCATATGAACTCAGTCTGTGATGATACCTCTGTGTTTTTGCTGAGTTGCAGCATGAGTTTTCTTTGACTATTTGGAATGTGTTTCTAGGTCTTGAGGTGCTTTAGGAAATGTTCCAGTCATGCTTCCTCACACAGGTGGGATGTACGGTGGTAAAGATTACTTGGATATTGGAGTGCCTCACAAGAACTTAGCACGTATGGCTGGCTGACAAAACAGCAGCTAGTAAACTAGCTTTTCATGTTTTCATTTTACTTTCATTTCCTTAGGAAGCATCTGATTAGAGAACTCCATTGATTGGGAAGTAGAAGCCTGCCCATTTCCAAAGCCTGGAAAGAAAGCAGATGTTTGACTACAGTTCTGATTACAAACTACCATGCTAGCCTGAACTACTGTATTTCCAATTACTGCTGTCTTCTGTATAGATATGGTTCTTAATGCTTGATTTCCAGGCTAGGATACATTTTATGAACACTCTCTGGAGTTTCATAATGGAAGTAAAAATATTTTTCTATAGACCTTAGTAATTGGCTTAAAGAAAAAAACAAACAAACAAACAAAACTACTTTCATCTTTACCTGAAGATTTCAAGCAGTCTTGAATCTTGAAGGATTCTGTCACTTTACTTGATAGGATGCCCTTTCAGTGACTTACCATTCCAAGGTACTTATTTATTTTATTTTATTTTTTATGTCAGTTTAGAGCCCTAGGATCCTGTTCTATTTTGTAATTAGTTCACTAATCCATCTTCCCTTGCAGAAATCTTCACAGACCGTGATCAGTCACTTGATAGTTTTTATTCAGTAAAATAAATAAAGTGCATTGTAAAGCCCTTGCAAGATACGTCCTGTGTAGTCAGATAATTTTTAAAGTTGTAGTTTGTCAAAAGTGCTGTATGTTCTATATAACTGTGATCACAAACCTTTTACAGAACAAGACTGTCGAGAATTTTTCAGTGTAAAACACTATACAGAAAGGGAAAAAGCTGAAAGGATACAGAGATTGT